CAAAAAAAGCAGAAAGAGCAGACAGCGCTTCGTAGTAAGTAACCCTAGCAAGTAGGTGAACAATCGTCGTAACTACCTTCCTCACCTCACCTTACCTTACTCTCCTCGGCTGGATTGCTTAAGATAGATAGCTTATCTATTTACATCTATCCGATTCATTCATTTATCTATCTATTCATTCATTCCCATCTAATCCTTTTCCATGGATTCAGAGCGGCTGCCAGCTGTCGAGTGGAGGTTCGAAGCGGCGGACGGCGTAGAGAGGCGGGTGTAATAAGTACACCGCTAGCCGCGGGTACTGACGCCAGCACTGGCCGGGCGCAGGTATCACAAGAGGTGGTCAGAGACAAGAGATCGACATCGAAAGCCGTTTGGGGTGGTGTTTCGAAGATTTTTTTTTATATGCGTTATATACATTTTATACATTACATCCTTGGAGCTCGAGTCCAGTCCGGTCCGGCTGAGAGCAGAGATTCAGACGTACAATGCCTGCTGCCACCACCCACACCTCTCCGCCGGCAGGTTATCGACCCGCATCTCCGTCCGGTTCAGCCCGAACTCCATCAGCATGCCGACCCCGCCCGCCTCCACCGCCGTGCCCTCGCTGCTGTACGTCCCAAAGGCCGGCAGCCCCTCTCCGTTCGGGTCGCCGCCCGCAACGAAGTTCATGAAGTAGCGCTGCATCATCACCGCCAACGTGTCGTTCTTGACGGCCGCAGCAGGGCCTTCGTAAAACGTGTACATGACATCGTCGCCGTGCAGTGCCGGCGGCACGCTGAATAGGTAACTCCACACCCGGCCCCCCTCTCCCGGTCCCGGTCCCGGTGCCTCTCCCCCGGGCTTCTGCAGGGAGGAGAAGGCCTTGCTGAGGTACTGCGCGTTGCACGAGAAGAGGGCCTCCGAGACGATGGCGGCCCCGCGCGACACGGGGTTCGTGTAGCCGAGGCTCCCGTCCAGGACGTCCGGGTAGAGCGTGTTGAGGATGTAGTCCGAGGCGTTGGTGCGGTCCGCGTCCGGGAACGAGACGTCCACGACGTTCTGCGAAAACGTCTCGGGCGTGAAGACAAAGGGCGAGGTGAAGATCAGCCCTTCTTCCAGGTTGTGGCCCGTCATGAGGTGCAGCGACTTGTCGAAGCTGCCGTCGAGCAGCGCCTTGCCGGGGAGCTGGGGCGCGAACGTGCCGTCTACCACGGGATCTAGCGCGTTCGGTCAATACGATTGCCCCAACGGAACGGGGAGAGGGGTTGAAGTAACAGGCTGGCGGGAAAGAAGCCCAAGAACGGACGGATGGACGTACTGAATACAAAATCCCCGTACTTCGCCTCCCCGAGCATCATCAGATTCACAAACTGCAAGTCCGCCGTGGGCAGCTGGCGCGCCTCGGCCAGGGTTTGCACGCCCGCGAGGCTCAGGAACCTGGCGTAGATGGCCTCCTGGCGTTCCATGCCCGGGACAGGCAGGAAGGCACCACTCTGCACAATCGCCTGCTGGAAGGGCGCCTTTGCTTCGGGGCCTTTTCCCCCGTAGGCCGTAATCTGATGCATGATGCTGCCCCCGCCGGCGGATTCTCCCATCACGGTCACGCGACCCGGATCGCCGCCAAACTTGGCGATGTTGTTCTGGACCCACTGCAGGGCGAAGCGTTGGTCGAGGAGCCCAACGTTGGGGGTGCCCTGGTCGCGTTCAAACGTTTTGCTGGAGAGGAAGCCCTGCGACGCAATCATCAGCAACCTGACCACGCGAGCTGGCGTGGGAGAGGAGTCGGGGACACACAAAGGCCCCGAGACGGTAGTTGATCGCGACGTATATCACTCCTTCCTTCTCATCTCGCTGACTGGCGTTCAGGAGGCCAACACCGCTACCATATTGCGTCTTGTAGCCCATGGTATACCCACCGCCGTGGATCCAGACAACGCTTCATCATCCAGCTCCCGTCAGTTACATCCGTTAATAGAAAGTTGATGGCGAGGTAAGCAACTCACACCGGCGCCCCCTTCATCTTCATATTCTCATCAAACACCCTCCTCGGCACCAACATATCCAGGAACAAGCAGTCCTCGCCCTCGTCCGGTAGGCCCGGCGCCCCCCTCGTCACGTTGGGCGGCGTGTACCCGGCCGGGATATCGAGACTCCCAATGCCTTCCGTCAGCCACTTCACCATCGTGGCGCTCCATCCCGGGGTTGCGTTCGGGCAGATGGCGCGTCGGGAACCGTCGTTGAGCACCCCCCTCGTCGTCGGTGCGCTCGGCGGTGCGAAGCGCAGATTGCCCAGCGGCGGAGCGGCGTAGCGAATGTTGGAGAAGTTGTAGAATTGGCCGGTGGACTGGGGTCGCTGTTAGTATGGATGTGTGTGCGCAGACAAGAGGAGGTACGTTCGTTAAATTGGCCCTGGTGGAGCTCGTAGCCTAGGTCGATTCGCGGATCCTCTTGGGGAGGCCACTCTGCACTGCCCAGCGCGACGGCGACGAAGATGGCCAGGACGCAAAAGACAGGTGAATCGAACAACATATTAACTGGGCCTGGGCAAATATAAAGAGAGTGTATTTCAAAGCTGAAATTTGGAGCGAAAGTGAGTCGCCAGATCAGGTCCCTTCCGAGCGTTCAAAATTTGGCCCTTTGAATGATGTCGACAGCCTTATCTAATGCCCATCCCATACTCTGGGTGCCCGACGCGGTTCCATGGGTTCCATGACATTCCGATGCCAGTGTCTTGGAAATGGAGATTCTCCCAGGAGAGCCCCATGGCTCGTCGTCGTCGGTGCTCGCACACATGGTGGTATAGTTCGAGGTAGTTCCAGATGGTATTTCCAGATGGTATTTCCGGGCCCCCAATCGTAAGCTGCGCACGACTTGGACCCTGCTGGGCTGTCCGGCTATGGAGATCTGTCTAGTGTAGCGTAGTGTAGCGGGATTCGTCAAAATGCGACCAAAGTCTATCCGGCTCCTCGCTGGGATCACCCCCTTCCACTACAGTACCGGTAGCTCTTCGCCCAGGTGCGTCCCATTCATCTTAATTAGATTTCAACTGCCCTGAGCAAGTTCTCGTAAGGCAGTGAAGGCAGTGAAGGCAGTGAAGACAGTGAAGGCAGTGTTGTACCGGTACGAGGTTTTTACTTTTTGGTTGTAGTTGGATCTGATTCGATCCGATCAGCGCCTCTTGGGGGGGTTGACGGCTGTCCTGTGTCTCGCTCCGGTGGCTGTACTGCGCACGACGGCAGAGAGAAGAGAGGGAACGGGAAGGAGGGATCCCAGGACCTCGGGACTCGTCGACTCGGGGAATTTGACTTCCTGGGATGTACCCCCCGCGTCAGCCCTGGCTTCTCAGTCGAAGTCAATGCAGAGCCATATACGTAGTAGTAGTAGTACCTAGTACCCCTATCGAAGCTACTACCTATCCACTCCATAGATTCAGACGACTTTTTCCAATCTCGATTCTCGCTTCTTTTCCCAAAAAGGCTGAGGATCACGATCACGATCACGATCACAATTGCAATTGCAATGCATTGAATGCGCAAAATAAACATAGCTGCGGCGAAATCGAGCCACCAGATCCTTTCGATCTGGTTGCAAAACGAAGGTTTCGAAATGCTTCGCACAATTTACTTGTATAACCTTTTCGTGCAATGGGCTCCGGCACGATCACGTGCCTGCTCCACGCGGTACACGATCCGCGACTGTGATGCAGATTGCGCGTGCGGTGGGTACGGTGGAGCATCGTAGCTCATAATGTGCGTGCCGTGCTCAAGAAGCGCAGATAGATAGATGGTCGGAATCAAAGCCGAGAACGCGACCTCGTCGCCGCCTTGCGTACCTACTTTTCTAACGCATCACCGCCACCTTCACAATCTCGACTCGGCTACGTCGAACAGTATGCATTCCATCAGCAATCTTGACCAGGCTTGTTTCGTCGGTGAGCAAGGACCGTACCGGTACTTGGTTATAGGGACACCTTCAAATTAGTTCAAAACTAGGCATCGGCATCTTCCCGAGGCAATCGCTAGGTGCGATCATAACAGGTTCGTGTTTCATTTTGATCAGGTGCGGAAGTGACTCTCTAGATTTTGACTGTCTGGTACTGTATAGACTTGTTAGGGTCAACATGGCCGAGTGCGACCCGGGGCCCGGGATTCTGTACTGTGGGAATCGGGAATCGGGACGTATACTGAATTGGGTCCGTGGTGAGTACGTGCTGTGGTGGTTCAGAGAGAACATGGCATAGGGCCAAGCCTTGCCGTCGGCGGAGCTGGACCGTCACGGGGGGTGTATACCTTATGTACCTGTGTATACTCCGTACGGAGGTGGTTGCGGTTTGACTAGTATGAAAGGTGTGGTGTCACAGAAAGAGCGTAAGAGAGTTCCGACGGAACTTCCGTCTCTCCATGATCTTTTTCGGGATCTCCTGATATGATGACTTCCGGATCCCGGGTCCGGGGATGATGCTTCCGGGCATAGCACAGAATCGAATAAGAAGTTCGTCACATCATTATCAAACTTGATGGTTTCACTTCCTTTCTCGTCCGCCGTGGATTGTCAGTCGATGCTTGGCTTGATCTGAATGAGGGACAGCGAACACTTTGCATTCGCGATTTTGTCGTTTCCGCCAGTCAAATATCGATCCGTTTCATCTTGCCATATGTTCAGAGGTATCCAGCAACTACTACGAGCTTGGAGAGATGTGCCATCCGGGCTCATACTATACTCAAACACGGCCAGTCCCATCACTCTCCCTTTTTTCATTCCGGAGGATCACTGAGGAAATCAGTAAGTGAACTTAGAAAATTATACCGAAGACTCATACCGCCCATGATATAGATAAATGTTGCTACTACTACTACTAGTAGTACTACTACTACGACGGAATAGATGACATAGCATGGCGACATGTACGGAAGCCAGAGCAAGGGAAGTTTCTCGCCTACCGACCGGACAGCAATCTATCTACTATCCAAACACTTTTGTCCTAGTATTGTAGGCACCAGTCGACGAAGTGTCATACCGACTCAATGGCTTAAGCTCACGCATAACGAACTGTGAGACCATCTTGACACTAGCCGATTGATCCAATCATAGCCCTGCTCTTTCGACGAAAATGGAGAGGAGCAGGTACGCAAAAACCTTTTCAATTCGGTTGTCAACTGAAACCTCGAAGTGAGCCGAGGGCATTGAGAGCTCTCAGTTAACTGAGTTCGCCGGAAAACCTATTCCGTTATGTTTGTAAACCGGAACCCCAGGTGACCCCGGTCGGTCACTCTGGGCTCCCAGATGAGTTTTGCCTTATTTTTCTATCGATGTAAATACATGTATATCAGCAAGTAAATAAATTCGGCCGAAGGCTACCCACATCTTGATTTTTTTGGCCCGTTCCGAGCGTCAGTATCTTTTTCTGACGGGGGTCGTATTGTATCGTATATACGTATGTTTATTTGTTTGTTGTACCGTCTTTTGCGTTTTCTGGCCAAGTGCCGTGCCCTGCGTAGTGGCAGGTCTTGTCCGAGTCAAGCTTTAATTGGATCCTTCCATCAGTGCTTGTCTTCTCTACCGGTACTCTCCCCCCCCCATGAATAAATGTCGGACCCAGTTTAGGCCCATAAATCATAGAGCGGTGGTTTCTTAATGGCTCAAAGCCTTGTCAACTCCACTATATAGACTAAAAACCGGTTCAAAGATACTTTTCAAAGCCGAATCCTTATAAGTTGATTGGTTTAAGCCTTGGTAAGATCCCTTGCGAAATTATACTTTCGACATTTATTCATGGGGGGGGAGAGTAGCTTCAGAGCAACCTTCTTCTCTATCCTCTATCCCTCCTTCCTGCACCTTCCAGCCTCGCCAATCCCCCATGATTCCGTATATACACCAGCAAGGAAAAAATCCGGCAATGCCACTGCCCAGAGTTTCAATCCAAGCCCGAGCCGACGATGAAAGAAACACAGTTTCTCTTTCCACGCCGAATTGCGTTTTTCGTGTTTCGGGCCGTGAGAAGCTTCTGGTCCATCAAGCAATTGAAACACGTCAATTCAAGCCTTTGACAAGACGAGAAGGTGCCTGATACCTGGTTTGTAGCCCGGGCACGAATGGACACCGTACAATGATGGACAGAAGGGGGAAAAGATATCAGCGCCGAGCAGCCCCGGTGACAGGTTGGCGCGACGTCCGCCCGAGATATCGGTTATATTTCCGTATACGGGGTCTATATGCATGTCTCGGCTCCAGCAAAATCGACTATACGTATCATTACCGGTATCATGATCATCATCAACGTCATCCTGTTGGCTAGTTATAGCTAGGGCCGAGCAGAGCTTTTTCAACGTTGAACATACCCAATTCGAGAGCAATCCAACTCTTCATACTGTATATACTTTGTCAATATCTACCTACCCACACTTTCCCCTTTCCTTCCAAGGAAAGCTTGTACCTTTACTTATACCTGTACCTGTACTGTACCTGTATCTATCTACGTATACAGCCAAAGAAACCCCAGCCGACACTCTAAAAATGAACCAGATTCTGCATTCCCGCCGCCCTTGCGTTCCATTGAGGCCGACCACGAGCTAAACCGTGGCCTAGTATCGTACCTACTAGTCTCCCCCCAAGTTTTGATTTTCTTCCGTTTGCAGTTGTGGTTTTCGTATCTGATTTCCCCATTTCCTCCCTTGGGACGCTACTCTCGTACTTCCGTACGTACTGTATATGCGTATATGCGTATATGCATGCAGGCTGATGATATACGGAGATACGAGCCGTGGGTATGTGGCTGACGTCATGACCGGTGGATATACAGAGTAGGTAGGTACACCTCTCTACCGGTATCGACGTGCGCTTGATCTTCTCTCTCCACGGATCTCTCCCCCTTCGATCGTTTCCAGGTTCGGGCATTTCCATCCATCAATCGATTCATCGTTACTATCATTGTCTTCTCGTACAGCTGATAGGATAGATACCATCTCGGTTACTATTCACTCGTTCATTCAAGCTGTCTACCCGGTCACCTCACTTCACCTTACTTTCACTATCGACCCCCGCCAAATTTCTCGACCTTAACACAAACACACATACACACGCACACACCAAAATCCACTCGAATCGAACCAGACACAAACTCTCCCTCTAAGGAAAAAAGACCAACGCTATGCTGCAGACGCTCCCCATCGTGCTCATCTCCCTCTGCGCGGTCATCATCGCCGTTGGCTTCGCGTCGCTGATGGGGATCGCCTTGAAGAAGCAGAATACCCGGCAGATTGCCGTCTAGCGGGGGCTACGGGTGGGATGGATGATGGGAGGGCGGGCAGCATGCCATTCGAGTCTGGGGAGGAGGGGGGCGGGAAAGGGCAAGGGCAGGGGCAGGGAGGTGGGGGATCTTGCTGTGTGGTGAAGAGGATGGAGGTGAAGGGTGGTGAGAGGGAGAGAGGGAAAGAGGGAGAGATTCAGAGAGCGGTGGCAGAAGGGAGGGAAGAAGGACAGAAGAAAGGACGGAAGAAAGGATGGATAGAAGGGTCTCCTCACGTCAACGACAACTAAGACCGGCAGCAGTCACAATGACAGGCATCTATCCACTTACAAACTGCACCATCTCCTTCTTCCAATCAGCCGGACACCTATCACCGTCAATGTACAGACCAGACGGATAGACACCAGGCGCTGAAACAAATTTGCAACAGACATCTCGACCATTGCCCTCCCCCCTGCGCGTCCAACACATTCTAACCCAACCCTCTCCTTCGCCATACTGCCCATCCATCTCGGATCTCCTATCCTAGACGTCCACCTCTGGCATCTAACATTTCGATCTGCAAGCAAGCATTTGGTATCGACACAAGGCGATAAATGACACCAAGAAGAAATAATCTCTTCTTCACCCTTCTTCGCTGCACCTACACAGCACGAACGTCCAATCTCTCCTAGCATCCACTCCACTCCACTCCTCCACGAAACGAAAACGAAAACGAAACGAAACGAAACGAAATGAGGGCTTGGGCAAGGCAAGAAAGGCATCAATTGGCTTGACACCTCCTTCACGCCATCATGTTTACGATATCTGGGAAGTGGGATGGAAACAGGTTCAGGGAGTGGCAACGGCAATGGCAATGGCAACTGGCAACGGGATTTTAGATCGGAAGAGGAATCAAAAATCCTGCTGCTTAAGGAGCATGTAAGTATAAACGTATGTATGTATGTATGTATGTATGTATGTATGTATGTATGTATGTATGTATGTCCGACGTACAGATAGGGCAGCAATCGTAGCCTCGAACTCGAAATCAAAATCAAAACCTAATCCGCTGCTCTATCACACTGATCGGTTACTGGAACTATTGCCTAGAGAAGAGGCGCTATAGCTAGGTAATCACCGGCAGTAGATACACGTGTGTTTACCGGTGTACCTATGTGTACCTAGGTATGTGTACCTTATCATGTCACAACCCTTCTTCGCTCATTCTTTCGTCCTTGTTTTTGTACCCTCTCCTCTTATTTTTCTTTTCTTTTCTTTCTTTTTTTTTATTTTTAAATGTATAGGATTGTGATCACTTTGTCTGTCTGTCTACCTGTTCTGTTTTATTTTATTTTATTTTATTTTATTTTATTTTGTTCTGTTCTGCTCTATTCTGTTCTGTTTCGCATGCATGCATGCATGCATGCAGGTAGGAGAGGGATCGAAAGTTCTCTACCCCGAGAGGAGGAGATGATGGTGGTATGATTCTTTTTGTTCTTTTTGTCTTTTTGTTCTTTTTGTTCTTTTTGTCTTGGGGTTGGGGTTGGGGTTGTTGGCATTAGTATCGTCTCTTTCAAAGGATATTTTATAGCTGGATATAGATTAATGATTTTATATATTTATGTATATGTGTATATATGTATATAGATTTGTATATATGTGTATATATGTGTGGAGAGAAAGTGAGAGAAGGGGAGAGAGAGAGTGAGTGAAGAGGGGGGGAGAGGGAAAGAGAGAGAGAAAGTCGGCCAGCCAGCCAGCCAGCTTGCGGCAGCGAAAAAGTCTCGCCGAGGAGGCCGCACTGCTGGGTAAGCTGTCGCTCGCTACGCGGTAGCGAGCCGGACAAACGGAGCGGATAGAAAGTGAGCGATCGATCGATGGATCGATCGATGGATGCGTGCATCATCAGAGAGAAGCGCAATCAATTGCATGCAAAGGGAACGGGCTCGTATTGTATCAGCGGAAGAAGCAGAATGTGGTCCCGTGGTCGTTATTGTATTGTTCGGCTTGGGAAAACTTAAGAGATAAGTGGATAGATAAGTAGATAGATAGATCGCTAGATAGCTAGATAAATGGTTGTTTGATTAGTTGGTTGGATAATTGGCTGGCGTCTCGCTCGCGAGTCGCTTACCGGTTTGGTTTAGATTAGTTTGGTTTGGTTTAGTCTGGTCTGGTTTAGTTTAGTTTGGGTTCAACTTTTACCTATAAGAAAACATATATCTATCTGCTTTGCTCTGCTTTTTGTGCTTGACGATATGTGAAGAGGAATAATCGCTTTGTATAGTAGCGATCTGAGATCCTTCTTAACATTAAGCTGGGTTTATCGTGTAGGATCTTAGAGCATCCCGTTTATCATGGGCTTCGCGATGAGTTTTGCACTTATTATCATTATTATTAGTATTAGTATTAGTATTAGTATTAGTATTAGTATTAGTATTAGTATTAGTATTAGTATTAGTATTAGTATTAGTATTAATTAGTATTAATTAGTATTATGTTTTTTTCTTCTTTTTTTTTCTTTTTTTTTCTTTTTTTTTCTTTTTTTTTCTTTTAAATCGGGCAGCTAGCGGCAGCAGATTCATTGATTGAACCCTCTCTTCCTTCCCTACCCCTTCCCTACCCCTTCACCACCGTATCTTCCCCCTCTTCTCCTCTTCCTCTCCAAAAGATAAATATCAATAAGAACACAGACAGAAAGTAAGTCTAAAATCCGAATAAGGAAAGTGAGGAGAACAAAGAGTATAGAATGGAATGGATGGCGATCAATCAAGATTGGTATTATATGTATATACGTATGTACCTATGTATGTAGTTGCTCGAGTCCAGGGTGATACAATATTAGCCGGCTCATTTATATGACTACTCTATGTCTGCGGATGAGGGGGGGAAAGAGAAAAAAAAAAAGGTGGAGGGGTGGGGGGTTGAGTTTATCAATCGCGTATTGATCTCTCAATTGACGAACGAATCTCCATAAAATGTCTTTTCATCCAGTGTATAGACACATTACACACCTAATTGCTTACTTATTTACTTTCCTCCTTACCTTCTCCCTCTACTACTACATCCTTCTCCCCATTCTCCACTTTGCCTCTTGTCCCGCTCTTCCCCTTAAGACTTCGACTAGCCTTCACCAAACTGTCAGCACCAGGATCAATCCTCCTCACCAGCTCGCTTTCTCCCTCCTTCTCCCTCTTCCCCTCCCCCTCCGAGTCCGGGACATCAAGCGCGCTCTCCTCCTCCTCCCCGTCGCGGATGAGTCCGGCCTTCTTGAGCTCGTGCCGCCGCTTCTTCTCCATCTTCCTGATGGCGTCGGCCGTCAGGTCTTGTCGGACCATCCTCTCCCGCACGTCCTTCTTGCGCGTCTTGTGGTCGCCGACAGTGATCAGGATGCCCGCCGTGGTGTTGACAGTGATACTACAGCACAGGATCACCGTCGTGAGGGCGAAGGGCCGGACGTGGTAGGAGATGGTCCACGTGCACAATCCTAGTGAGATTTGGAGGATGGAGTGGCAGTCGAGCAACACCACGATCGCGACTAGCATCCACAGGGGAAACGCGTAATGGGTGGAGGTTTCGTGGGGCTTGTAGAAACTATGACTCTTGGCGAATTTCTGCTGGTGGTGCTGCAGCTTCTCAACCTGCTCCGGGCTCAGGACTGAAAATTCTTGCTTCTCCACGTCTTGCACTTCTTCGGGCTGGACAGCGGGGAGGTCTGAATCGTTGGCGAGCTTGGGGAGGGATTTTTCCCGCCGCAGGCGCCAGGTTAGGCGGTGGTAGTGGGCGATGAAGCACATGTGGTAAGTGTCTACGGCGCGGAAGGGGGCCAGGCCGTCACCCACTATGGCGAAGAGGGCCACGAGGACGTTGTCGATTACGTTGATCATGTATTCCTTGCGGGAGCCGCTGACATTGACCCAGCCTGGAGTAAGTCAGCACCAGTCATACAACAGACACAAACATAATGGAGAGAGAGATGAGGGATAGGAGCGCACCAATCAAGAAGAGGACCCAAGCGAGTCCGAAGGCGGTGATTAATACCGCGTAGAGAGTGACAAAAAACCCAAGGGGTTTCGAAACGTATTGCTTGAAGCCCTTCATGCTCCTCTTGAATTTCGAACGCCGTGAATGCAGCATATGCCTGACATGGTCATTCAGTTCCAATTTCTCTTCCTCGCTCCAATCAGAAAGCCGAACGCCGTGCGGTAGCACCGCGTAGTAATTCTCATTCACATTAGAGCTTATCGTATTCAGCGTCGCACCCGATGCCATCCTCCTCGCTGCTGGGCGCGCCTCGTCTTTCGGGGCAACCATGAAGCCCGTATCATCATCGCTGGATGTCGTGCTGTCGTCTTTCGTAGGCCGTCTGGTCAGATTATACGTCGGTCGTCGATTAAGGTATCTCCCAAGATCAGGGACGAAGAGGGAGTTTTGCACATTGGTGAGAGTTTGCAGGGTCGAGACCTCTGGGTCTGCGGGAAGTGTCAATAAATATCAAGACTGACAGCCACCGCACTCCCAAGACCAAATCTCGAAACTCAATTTCAATACCAAGAGTCGCTTAAACTCTCAAGCTCCAGAACTCAGAACTCAAAACTCAAATTCGAATCCGAGCGAAAGGGAAGTTTAAACAGGGCAGTGAAGGAGGGAATATGCCGGGAAAGCTTACCAACAAGATCCAATAGATCAACCAAATCCGCTTCGTACTCTGCATGTCCATTGCCCACGGCCTGCTCTCCACGATCTCTCTCCGTTCTCCCTTCAATATTCGTCCGCGCCCTCCTCAAGGGCCTCCAGAAACTCGCCGTCGGCTGACTGATCGGCCTCCTGTCGCCCGCCTCCCTTCTCGCCGACACCGATTCATCGGGAAACTGCACCCTTGACGTCTCCTTCTCCCTCGGACCAGCCGCCGGTTTCGCTGTCGGCTCCTCCGTTACATCCGGCATATAACGTTCGCACCTGCCCGCGGCCAAGCTCGACGTCAGCGCCCCCCTATGCGGATCCGAGAAGCTGCGATTCCGCCTCACGCCCTCTCCTGCGCCCGCGAGATCCGCATTCCCGTTGCGATTGCCGTCATTCGAAGCTGTGCCGGGAGCGAAATCCAGCGTGCTGGTCCCTTCGACGGGACAGGCACCTGGCCTGAAATTCTGCACAGAGCTGAGGCGGCGGATGCGGATCGAAGGGCGGCGGCCGTAAGCGCGCGGTCGTTCGGGTGCGCTGCCTACTGTGACGGGGGAGAGAATGCTAGAGCCCTGACTCCTTGGTGAATCGGTCCTCACTCGGCCGGGGACTGCGTCTTGGAAATCCGGGTTTGGATCGGGGACGTTGAGCTGGGGGTGGTTGTGGTTGGGGTTCCGGTCGGCCATTGCATTGGCTATGGAGAGAGAGAGGTAGGTAGGTAGGTATTATATTAAAGAAGGAGGGAATGGAATAGCGCTGAGCGCGAAGGTAGTGGCAGTAGTAGTGGTAGTAAGGGAGTGAGTGAGTGAGTGAGTGCTGAAACAATAGCTGTCCGTCCTGCCTGTCGATGAGTGAAGGATGCGGCGATAACAATCCGCACCGATGGATGATGAAAAGGGTCTGCCGCTGTCGACGCAGTGACGTTAGAGCAGAAGCCGACCAAACACCTTAAACTGGGTTAAAGCTGCACTTGAGGGGAATTCGCTTGTTTTTCACCCCGTCGGCATCGGCATCCGGGATATCCGTGCTAGTTAGCTCAACTGCGTCATGCTGACAAAGATATCGATTGATAGCTGCACAATGCATTTCTCATCCTTTCATCCATCTTTTCTCTCTTATCTCTGTTTCGCACTTTCTCGAGCTATTTATTTTTATTATAATCAATAATCATTCAACTCACGGTATATTCTACAGTGAAACGTGGCCTCGTGAGCGAAGGATGGAATCAAAAACAACTCATTCCGGCGACGCGGCGGGCCGGGCATGAAAGCTTGATCTGCTAAATACTCTCTCTCGGCTGGGCGGGAGTGGCGGGAAAGATCAAGAAAGGGTCGAGAACGACAGGGACAAAGGCTGCTAACGAGGAATGATAGACATGTTTTGAAACTATTGATTTCTCATAACTTGGAATTATCCGAATCCACACGCTACGGAATAACTCGCAACAGAATGATGCATCGCTATATAGCGGTGATGAAATGCTCTACGGAAATGCGATGTTGCTTGGTAAGAAAGGAAAAGTAGCGATCATTCGGCCCTACTCTATTGTCTCAGATCAGATGGTGCAAACGTTTGGCTTTGGAAGCACTGGAATGTCAACAATATAAAAGGGAGAAGGTGAGATTTATAATCTATACATGCGAACAAGCTGGCTGACTTTCCTCATGCATCTTTCTTTCGCGTCCCTAGATACTTATTTATATAAATAAGTAGCTAAGCATCCTACCCAGCTGTCGAGGCGTGGCGGTACGTCTGATACAAGTCTTGGGTGCTAAGCAGAAGTACAACTATTCAATGATCTTTGCTGAATGTATATATACATATACACACATTTCTTCACCTCAACCCACTTCTTTCTAATCCTACCTCTACGTCCTTCCCTTTGGTGGAAAAAAAATAAAAAATTCCGAGCTATTACTACCTATCCATGTCTGAAAGGGACTGGGTACCAGCTTAGTCCAGCCATCGCATCACGGGGTGTACCTAAACCACTCTTGCCGGACTGAAGATCTGGGCTAATCATACATAATTACCAGACTCAGATGTCTTTGTTTCATTTGCGTCGCGGCAGCTTGCAGGCTTATTGGATTGGGATATACTCATATCACTTGCCACGTGACATATACCATCTTGGCATCTTGGTTTTTCACTCTGGCCATTTTCCCGCTTCTCAGTCAGCCGCATCTTCATCTCACTATCAAACCTCGGGCTCTTCATCCACCCGCCTGCTCGCTCGTTTGGATCTGAAGCCTACCATAAACAGAACTCGGCATTGACTGCGATTGGGTCGGCAGTGAGTAGGCCTAGCAGTGAGTGTGTGCGGCACAGCCAACCCCCTTTTTCTCGCTCGCCTCGGTCTCGGCAAGCTACAGATAATATACTGTACAACAAACTACCTACACATACCCCACACGCGGAAGATCGACGGGAGTTATAGTAACGGTAACAGAACCTACCCAACCCAGATCATTTCTAAATACTTTCACATCTCTTTTTACCGAGCTTTTTGAATATTCTCCTCTTGGCTTTTTGGGTACGCACCGCTTGAATTTCATGATATGATATATTATGTTAGGTTGCGTTATGATCTGATCTGATATATCACCAGAGAATCGTTCTCTTCGTTTTGATCTTTGCCTTACTTCTGTCTGCGTCACAATACTATACACAATCCACCTTTTATATATCACAACATCACAACAACACCATATTACCTCTCTCTATAGACAACCAACACCCCCAAGCAAACCACCGCAGTCATGCCCATCCACTCCCGTTGGCAAATCCCCATCCCCACCACCTCCCTCCCAACCTTCCTCTTCACTTCGCCCACCCACCCTCTCCCCAAAACTCCCCTCTTCCTCGATGCCGAGGCTCCCACGACGAAGTCGCTCTCTTTTGATTCCTTCCGCCTGTGGTCGCAGCGCTTCGCCGCGGGGCTCGTCGCTGCCGGCCTCAAGCCCGGCGACCGCGTCCTCCTCTTCTCCGGGAACAACATCTTCTTCCCCGTCGCATTCATGGGTATCCTGATGGCGGGCGGGGTCTTCACCGGCGCCAACCCGGGCTTTGTGGCTCGCGAGCTCGCCTACCAGCTCAAGAACTCAGACGCCAGGTACCTACTATGCGCTGACGCCGCGCTCGAGCTGGGGCTAGAAGCTGCACAGTCGATTGGGATGAGCAAGGGGCGCGTGTTTACGTTCGACGATGCGCTTTCTGACGGGAACGGTCAGGGTCGTTTGGGCGTCCGGAATTGGAGCGTCCTCATGGAGAGGGAGAGCGTTGGACGCGGGTTCCAGTGGGTGGAGCCGAGGGATGCGAGGGAGGAGGTTTGCTGCTTGAATTATAGCTCGGGTACGACGGGTGTGCCGAAGGGGGTTATGATCACGCATTACAACTACGTGGCGAATGCCATGCAGTATAACTATATGCCGTCGCTGCATCCGCAGTATGAGGAGAGGACCAAGAAGGCGTACGTATGCTTATCCCGTTGCCTTTTTGGTTGAGGGGGGAGGGGGGAAGGGGGGGGGGGCTCGCTTATGGCTCAGAAGCGGTTTTGGCAAGGTAGATGAGATGGATCAATGGAGATGGTTTGCTAATGAAATACAGAAATTGGCTGTGCTTCGTACCCATGTATCACGCGATGGGCCAAACCATCTTCGTCACCTGCGCTCCGAAGCGCGGGATCCCCGTCTATATCATGAAGAAGTTCGATTTCGTGCAGATGCTGGAAACGGTACAGAAATTCAAGATCACCTCGTTGATCATGGTCCCGCCAATTGTTGTTGTATGTCCTAATACCAGTCAGCTTTTCGAGGAGGGGAAGAGAGGGCCCAAGGGCAAGCTCATGCTAATGGGAGAATTCAATAGGCCCTCGCGAAATCTCCACTGACCAAGAAATATGACCTCAGTAGTGTGCTTGATCTTGGCTGTGGCGCGGCGCCGCTGGGAGGAGATGTCGTCAAGGAGTGTGAGGCGTTGTGGAAGCAGGGTGATCGGAAGATTAGGGTAAGCGTCCCACAGCTTTCATTGCTTTCCAACGTGCCATCCTCATTTTCCCCCTCTTCCCCCCTTCCATACTCTCCATCGAAAGAGAGTGAGAAATTCGCGGCTAAGGAACAACAGCAAGGATGGGGCATGACAGAAGGAACCTGCTCCATCCTCGCCTGGGACCCGAACCTCGATATCGTAGCCGCCTCCGTCGGAGAGCTGCACCCCAACTGCTCTGCTAAAATCATGGATCTGGATGGCAAGACGGAAGTGAAGCAGGGCGACCGAGGGGAGATTTGGGTGCAGGGTCCCAAGTATGCTTCGATCGCCCTTTTTTTTTATGCTCGTGTGATGAGATGAGTCGAGATGCTGATTTCGAGAACAGCATCATGAAAGGATACTGGAAGAACCAACCCGCTACCGACGAGATTTTCGTCGACGACCCCAAAACAGGACGGTGGATGCGCACCGGCGATATCGCCTATGTAGATGTACGCCTCTTCCCGCCCTCCCATTTTGAATCGCCCCTTTCTCTCCTCTCCTCTCAGTCCGGGAATCTATCCCAGCTAATACCCAGCCCAGGAGCGTAATTGCTTCTACATCGTCGACCGCATGAAAGAGCTCATCAAGGTCAAAGGCAACCAGGTCGCGCCCGCCGAGCTGGAAGGCCTCCTCCTCGAGCACCCGCACATCGCCGACGCGTGCGTCGTCGGCGTCACCATCAACGGCGGCGAGCTCCCGCGCGCCTACGTCGTGATCCAGGCGAGCGGGCAGGGCCAGGTGACGGAGCGCGAGGTGGCCGAGTGGTTGGTGGGCAAGGTCAGCCGGACCAAGCGGCTGGATGGGGGCGTGGTGTTTGTGGATGCCGTGCCGAAGAATCCCGTGAGTGTGGCTCTTGAACCCCCCCCCCCCCCCCCCCCCTCCCCATCCCTCCTGTATCGCGACCAGCTCTCTTTCTCTTTCATCCTCATCGAGCTCTGCGCTTGCATCCGATGCTTGAATTGAAAGGGCATCTTTGCTGATTGCAATGGCTAGTCTGGCAAGATCCTGCGCAAGATCCTCCGCGAACGCGCCCAGGAGGAAGTCGGTGACAAGGTCCCCGCGGCGTCGAAGCTTTAGATGGCTCGCTCGCTCGCCTTGCTCAAGCGTGTTTCGTTGGCTGCATTTGCGTTTCGTTCCCCGGGCTCGCTTGCGGCGCCGGCCATCTTGTTGTACGTGACCAGGCAGTCCCCCGCGAACGTGGGAGGAGTGGAGGGAGGTACACTCGTCGCTGTAGGCTTATATCATACCGCTCTGCTATCTATTGTCCCGTCCACTCACAATATCTCATGCTTGTGCTTGTCATTGTTAGCGACTAAAACATCATTATCAACGCCCTATTGCATAGCCCAGAGACCAGAGGCTGGTATGGCCATTCCCACCCCCTCCCCCTCTCTTCCACTGTTTCTTTAGTCACAATGAATTCAGTCCTCTTGTATCTGCATTACAACAGGAATCCTGTCTGGGGCAGCTGGGTGGATGGGATTTTACTTGTATGGGGGGCCGGGGATGGGATGGGATTTTACTACTTGTATGGGGGGCACGCCTTGACTTGACTGCTGCTTTAAGGTGCAACATTTCACTTGGATGCATAGCACACTGGAAAGAGGGATAGCAGACTCTCAGCTAGTAGTATCATTCTGACATACTTCTCTATTCTTCATGCTAATACCTACACCATAGCCTCGGCCTTTCTCCCGACGATATACTACCGGTACGTAGCATTCCCAGATCTCGGTTTCAGCTTCCCAGATTTGGATATACTACCTACGTACGTCGTCGATACAGCTCTTCTCCTTTACGCTTTCTCGGAAAAGCTTCTCCCTCTTAGAGTTAGCGGTTCGTTCAATAGTCTGCGAGCTTAATAGTCTCAAACCGAGTCTACTACTACTACGTACTTACTACTACTACTACTATTTTCAATCCGTTTGCCATCTAGACTTCCTTTATAGCTCCGTAGATTTCTGCTCCGCTCACCAAGTAGGGAGGTACCGGTAGTAGTCGCTACGCGACTCACCTCACCTCGTTTTCCTCGACGGGACGACGGACGTGGCCCTGACCTTCTCCGCGCCGGCACGGAGACAGAGGCAGAGGCAGGCTTTCATGCTCGCGTCGCGTCGAGGTCTGCGGGACACGGATCCACTCTCCTCGAGGCATTACGTAGAAACAATCGACCCTGGAGGACCCTTGACAGAATAGACTTTTTTTCCATACGTAGGAGTCGGCCGGAAGCGATGATATCATTCCACTTCCACCTCCACTTCCACCTTCACCTCCACCTCCACTTGCGACTCGTCGGACGAGTCGAAACGACGGAGGAGGAGGAGGAAGAGGAAGAGCTGCTGGGTCGGAGATAAGACAGAGGCGAGATGCTGCTCCAATCAGCCGTGGTCCGTGGTGGATGGGAACGACCTCGGTCAATTAATGTACCTAGCTAGACACACACCGCAGCCGGTTGGGGCGCTCAGGCAGTAGTCCCCCCTCCCCCTCCACCTCCACCTCCACCTTCCCCCTTCCCCTCCCCCCCTACCCCTACCCCCGTCCGACCCCACTCGACCTCGGCAATAGCCGGGGTTCGTTCATCTCTCCGTCTCACACGTGGGTTCAATGTGGGATCGCGGCAAAGGTGCCTGCCTGCCTGAGAAGATGATCCTGTTGCACTGCGGAAAGAAGTCGAAGCATCAGATCAGAGCGACGGCAATATTAGAGTCGGTACGTCGGGAAGTCGGGAAGTCGGGAAGTCGTCAACGTGGGGCCAAAATACCCAAACACCAAAACACCCCGACTGCATCAACAGCAGAATTTGGAAGCCCGGTCCCAAGCCGAAGTTGCGCGTTGCCACTGAGAGTAGTACCGGTAGTACTACTACTACTACTACGGTACCTTGCCAAGAAGACTTGACTTGCACTTTCCCCCAAGCGGCGGTTCACAGACGACGGTACATTTCGCTTAATGCGCTCAGTGCGCGACAGCAACAATAGACTTTTTCTCTCTCATTTCTCCTATCCTATCCTATCCTATCCTATCCTATCCTATCCTATCCTATCCTATCCGCCGCGCAGGCTCTCAGCACTCTCGACTCCGCGACGTCTGGCGCGGAGAAAGACGGGCAGTAGGTATCCATTCGGACTGAGGTGTGTCCACTGTTGACATCCCGTACTTGGTAGACATGCAGCAGAAGGGCCCCATTGTCCCATTCCTTATCGGGAGACGGGGAACGGCGCAGTCTCATCTCACAGATCCGCAGTGAAGAATCAAATACTGTTAGTAGGTATGTATGTATGGGCCCACAGGGAGCTGGCCGAGGGGTCCGTTGATTTGACGGCGACTTCAGCGACTTACTGTACTATCTCCCAGGATGGACCCCAGGACTTCGTCGAGTCCCCAGCCAGCAGCCCTGCATACACGGTACCCACTTCCTGTGGCCGACGGCGATCATCCAATGAGACCTGCCATACAGCGCGGGCGGTGGGGTTGTGAAAGTCAGTTACTGAGGACGTAGTAGTAGTAGTAGTAGTAGTAGTAGTAGTAGTAGTTAGTAAGTAGTAGTAGTACTTAGTAAGTACTACTTAGTAAGTACTTACTACGTAGTACTACGTACTTACTACTAAGTACAGTAAGTACAGTAAGTACTACTACTACTATTATTACTACTATTATTACTACTACTACTACTACTACTCCTCCTCCTCCTCCTCCTCCTCCTAGCAATCGCCCCCCAGGCCCCCCACCGGCAGGCCTTGGCTCAGATTCCTAGTCCGAGACCCTAGCCAGGGAGATAAAAAGTCAAGACTTTTCTGGAAGCCTGCACTGTCGTCGGGGCTTGGTCCGTCCGGTAGGTACAGTAGAATACAAATACTACCCAACTACTATCCAAGACTAAATCGCCCTTCGTCCCCCTCGTCCCCCTCGTCTGCTCCCCAACCACGGTAGAGGCATTGTGACCAGTTGCGAGAACGAAGCTCAGCCCAGCCAGCTATATATCACCTCGACGACAACATGGACTATCCTCCTCACCACTACGCTGGCGACGGCGACAAGAAGACCAACACCAACGACGACCTCCGAGGCAATGTCGCTCTCAACTCGGCCGACGACCTGCTCGGGGCCATGGGATACGAGTCGGAGCTGGTCCGGAACCGATCCACGCTTCAGGTCGCCTTCATGTCCTTCGTGCTGGCCTCCATTCCGTACGGTCTCGCGACGACCTTCTACTATCCGCTGGTCGGGGGGGGCCCCACCACCATCATCTGGGGATGGTTGGCGGTGTCGACCATCATCCTCTGCGTCGGCGTGTCCCTGGGGGAGATCACCTCCGTGTATCCGACCGCCGGCGGCGTGTACTACCAGACGTTCATGCTGTCCCCAGCGGGGTGTCGGAAGATCATGTCCTGGATTTGCGGTTGGTCGTACGTGGTGGGAAATATCACCATCACCCTCTCCGTGAACTTCGGGACCACGCTCTTCCTTATCGGCTGCATCAACGTGTTCGAATCCCAAGCGGCCACCGAGACCGCGCCGGCCGTGGGGATCTGGGAAGCCGAGACGTACCAGATCTTCTTGACCTTCGTCGCCATTACGGTCCTCTGTAATCTGGTCTCCGCTCTGGGGAACCAGTGGTTGCCGTGGTTAGATGTGAGCAGAGATCCCGGATGGGTGGGGTGAGACTAACGAGGCTAGACTTTTGCCATCTTCTGGACGTTCGTCGGTGTCATCTGCATCGTCGTCTGTGTCCTGGCCCTGGCCAAAGCCGGTCGACGTGATGCCGAGTTCGTCTTCACCGAGTTCCAGCCGCAGTCCGGATGGCCCGACGGGTGGGCATTCTGTGTAGGGCTCCTCCAAGCCGCCTATGCGACCTCCTCCACGGGGATGATCATTTCGTGCGTCTCGTCCCATCTCCTCTGCCCCTGGCGGCGCGACATCTGACACAAGGTAGCATGTGCGAAGAGGTCCAAAACCCCAGCGTCCAAGTCCCTCGCGCCATGGTCGGGACCATCATGCTCAACACGATCTGCGGCGCCGGGTTCCTCCTCTCCCTCCTCTTCGTCCTCCCCGACATCACCATGCTCGCGAATCTCGCCTCGGGCCAGCCCACCCCCGTCATCATCTCCATGGCCGTGGGCTCCAAGGGCGGCGCCTTCGCCCTACTCGTCCCCCTCATCGTCCTGGCCATCTTCTGCGGGATCGGCTGCACGACCGCCGCATCCCGCGCCACCTGGGCCTTCTCGCGTGATGGCGCGATCCCGGGCTCAAAGTGGTGGAAACAGATCCACAAGGGCCTGGATGTCCCGCTGAACGCCATGTTGCTCTGCACCACCATCCAGATCCTCCTCGGGCTCTTGTACTTTGGATCCTCGGCTGCGTTCAACGCCTTTTCGGGCGTCGGCGTCATCTGCTTGACCGTCAGCTACGCCGTTCCCATTGCCGTCTCGCTCATCGGAGGCCGGTCCCATATCAGCATGGGCAAGTTCGACATGGGTAAGCTCGGCCTGGTGTGCAACTTTGTGGCGCTTGGTAGGTCCCTCCTGATGATGTGCTGTCGCCGCTCTGCTCACACGGGTGACAGCCTGGTCTGCTCTCGCCATCCCGCTCTTCTGCATGCCCTCGACCATCCCCGTCGCCGCCGAGACCATGAACTACGCGTCCGCCGTGCTCGTCGCCTTCTTCCTCGTCGCCGGTCTCTGGTACTTCGTGTGGGGCAAGCAGAACTACGCGGGTCCTCCCGTCCAAGACGACGCGGCGATCGATCGCCGGACCTCGCGGATCTCGAGTGCGCATCAGCACCCGTTCTAGATAGTGTCCCCCTTGGCTGGGTGGTGGTGAGCCGCCTCCGTGGATGTATGTGACTGTGCAAGTGGTAGGTAGGGATCGAAGGTGAGATGAGATGAAGTGCTGGCCTATGCGAACCGACTCCGGAGCTGACGGACGGGCCTGGACCGGCCGACTGGCTCTTCCATTGCAACTCCAACCATACCTACCCATGCGAGCACCTGGCTACACGACAGCACCAACCATGCCTTTGCGAAGAACACCCACCACAGCAACACCGCCCCTGCGAAGCGACGAGCGATACCACGCGCCCCTGTCTGTCTTGTCCGTCTCGAGATCATTGGAAAGGTGGGTATTGGATTTACGCGTGTCTGTGTAATGATGACAATCCCCGGTTCTTTTGGAAAGTGTCAAGAATAGCTGTCAATGTATAATGCAATATACCCCACGCAACAATAGATCCCTATCCGCGGTTCTAGAGCCAGACCCTCTTTCACTACCGCTGGGAGGGGAGTGGTGACCAAGGGATGAGGACTCTAAGCTGAAGCCACTGACGTCCTTTTTCGTAACGCATGCGTAACGTCTCGACGATTGATAGATCTTGTTATATCATATCTCACTTGCTTACGCGCTGAGACGGCCCTATTCATTCTTAACATATACGTAACGTCTCGACGATTAATCTTGTCATATCATATTATATCTTACTTGCTAACGCGTTAAGACGCCCTTATTCATTTTTAATATATACGTAACGTCTCGACGACTAGTCCATCTGGTCTGGTCTTGTCTTGTTATATTATATTATATCTCACTTGCTCACGCGCTGCTGACCCTGGTTGGTATCCATCTACGGTATACATACGCAAGAGTTCTATATGCAAGAGTTCTACACGCAAGAGTTCCATACCTATGCCAGAAGAGCAAGAGCCTAACTATTTACCTACCTACCAATCAATCAGTGTTCTACTTACTTCTCGGGTATTTAGAGTCTGGTGCTATATAGGCTAAAGCTATTACGTATATCGTGCATTGACAATTGTATATTGTATATCGCATCTTTTAATCTGATCTGATTGCTAGTGGGTTGGTAGGTGGATGGGTGGATGGGTAGGTGGGTGGGTGGGTAGGTGGATGGCTTCGTATCGTCTAGGTAATTTATTTGATTTGATTTAATTTATTTAGTCTATTTTATTTAATTTATTTGATCTATTTTATCTTATTTGATCTATCTAATCTAATCTATCTATTCCCCCGAGGCATGGCATAGCAGGCATGGCAGGGCAGGCAAGCATAGCTAGGCTGGCAAGCTGGCTATGTAGGTTCATTCGAAACCGCTGCCGCTGCCGCCGCTGCCGCCGCCGAGCTAGCGCCTTATCTGTCGGATATGATCTAGTAATAGACTTATCACGTATCAAAACCCTTCCAGAAACATAAGTAAAAAAGCTACTCTTCAAGTCCATCAAAGTTCAACCAAGAATTCAAAATCATTCCATCTATTTGTTGCTAGGTAAAGTGTAAGGTAAGAGCCTGGTCCGTGCACAGTGCACGGACCTCAGGCCTTAGCACGCTCCTACTATAACCTCGCCCCTAATTCTTAATCCTAGATAATATAAGTTAAGTAACCACACACATTAGCAAAGCTTCTTCGTGACCTAGTATTATTATTAGATTGATACTAGCAATAGGTTATAAGCCTCGGAGCCTGATTCAATTCATCTTAAAGTATTTCCAGACTTCAAACACCCTTTTCGGCGTATTAAAATACTTACCCTTTGATAATTCGTCACCGTGGCGCGCGATTCGTTAAAACGCTATCTTAATTATTTAATACGAAATTTTCAACTTGCTTATAACGACTTGATTTTCATTGCATTTGATTTTTAAGATACGGTTTCTTTAAGAATCCGTTAGAACTAGATCAATAGCTCGTTGCGCTCGCCGTATAGCTCGAGAAATGGTTTTCGTTACTTTATTTCGGTCTTTCGCGGATAATAATAATATTAATAACGCCGATTATATACAGCTTTAAAACGCTGCATCGCCGTTTAACTTTATTTAGCACTTTAAAAAGAAAAGAAAAAACGCTATTATTAATTTGCAGCCTTTTCTTTTCGTATTAAAACGAAAAGCACCGATTATTAATACGGCGACGAAAGCTATCAAGAGCTACTTCGACGATATCGATCGCGCGGCTATTATTAAACGACAAGTCTAGTAATAATACGCTTTCGTTTCGAACTAAATTGTAAACGATCAACTCGACTTCGAATCTCGATATTATGCGTAAGAGTTTTTTAAAAGTTTTTTTACGTTTATACGTATTTATTTATACGTAATTATCGAAATAGCTACTCTTTTTTTTCTTTTTACCGCTTTTTATAATAGCGAGCAAACGGCTTTTTTTAAGTCTATTTTATAAGCAGATTCCGCGAAGCTTTCGAAGACTTTAAAAAACTTAAAAGCTGCCGCTTAATTAATAATCGTTAAGCTGTCTTGATTTTCTTTTGTTATAAAAATAAGACTTATAAAGACTCGCAAACTTACGAGCTTTTAAACTATTTGCAAGTCTTTTAGCGAACAACTTAAAATACGCTAAGATAAGCGAGTTTTAATTTAAGTATTTTTCGCTGTATTTTTAACTCGTTTCGATACTTACGTCGCTCGTAAAGCTATTACTGATAAATTAAACGGCGTCGATATAATTATTATTTTTCGTTTTAAAGCTATTCGCATTAATTAAGCACTTACTTCGATTAACTTTAAAACGAAAAACCTTTTTATTATAAATAAAGCTAAAAAAGTATATTAAAAAGTTTTTAAAGCTATAAAAGCGATTATCTCGATTAAATAATACACGTACGCTATTTAAAAAGTCTTTGCTAAAATCAAAAGCCTTTTCGGCGAGATTTTTAAAACAGCGAAGCATATCGACGAAAAGATTTTAGCTTAAGCCGAAAGAGCTTTAATAAGCGTTCGTATTTTTTAATACGAAACCGATCTAGCGACCGGCTTAATTTATTAAATAATCTTTTTTTTAAAAGAAGTTCGCAGCTTTAAGTTATTCGATTATAATAGCTATTTTCGGTTAATCGATAAAAAGCAACTTATTAAAAAGCACGACTTTAGCTGCTTCGATTAATATAACTCGGCTAAATGTATTCGATACGCACGCTGCTTTTATTATAACGAGCGAAAAAACTAATACGACGAGCTCGATAATAAAGATTATACAGCGCTTTTTCGTTATACGAACTATTACGGCTCGTACGAAGCTAGTTATAAAAATTGCTTTGCGGCTTTTAAGCGAATCAACAGCAAAGTAATCACTTTTATTAAGAAAAAGCTAAGCGCCGTCCGACGATTAAGAGCTTAAGCTTACGCTATTGCTATTGCTTTTATAACGAAAGAAAACGAACCGATTTTAGCTTTTTAATTAAAGACTTTTGTTATCGGTATTAACGCAGCTTTTTTTTTAAAAAAAACGCGCTTTTACGATGCAAAAGCACGAGCGAGCGACTTTTTTTAAGCTATCTTTTTATAATCTTCTTTTTAGTCTTTTACGTAAGCTACGAGACTTTTACGCAATACGATTACGCGCAAGAACTTTAATAAAAAGACTTTAATAAATAACGCTTTTTTTACTATAAACGAAAGAAAAGATACGCTAATAGCGATATCGGATTATTACGTAAATAATACTATTAGCTTATCTTTTTCGTTTATAAAAAGCTCGAGCATTATTGCTAACTAAAATATTTAAAACAACTTTATATATTAAGTACGCCGATACGGCACCGCGGCACTCGTCGCAATCGATAGCTTTTTAAAAAAATTTAAATCTGTTAAGCGAACGTAAGCAAAAAGCAATTATATTATATTGCTTTATTTTATTTTTACTATTCGATAAATATTAACGTTATTTATATTTAAAAGCTATATACGCACTCGAGTATTAAAACTTAAAACTATTTGTTTTACGATTGTTATACTTTAATAAAATCGTAAAATAATTAAAACGATACTTAATACTTCGTTAAGCGATTACGAATGATAACTTACGTGCGTAAAAGCGTAAGTCTTTATATTTAATAACGCCGTTTTATTCGTAATAAAGATCTTTTGTAAATCGATATAAACGGCTTTGCTATTTTAAATATTAATCGGCAACTTTTAATAAATTCGATTATAAATTATATTACTTACTTCGTTTTTCTTTTTAAATGCTTAATTAAAAAAGACTTTAACGTATAACACGATATATTCGAATTAAAAGTTAAGATTAAAAGCCGAGAAAAAGACTTTGCGGCTTAGTTTAATATTAATAAAATAGATTATATTAAACTCTCGAGCGACTTTACTTATAAAGCTAATTACGTTTTAGACTTGACTTTTTTAAATATCTCGTTTGCTTAAACGATAATTCGCTTCGATTTTTATTCGAGCTTAAATTACAAAACTTAAGTTACGATTATCTTTAATTGAAAAGTCGTTCTTTTAAAGCGCTTTTAATATCGGATACCGGATTAAAACTTCGAGAAATTCGCTTCGCTTATAACGCTAAGCATAAACTAACTTTTCGACTTATAAACGATATATTTTATTAAAGAACTCGATTAGCTTGCGATCGGCTTAATTATTGCTTTTAATTTTGCTTTAAAAGTTATAAGATAGCTTGCTCGAGAAAAGCTAACGGTTGTACTATAATAAACAGCAAACTATTAAATAACGTATAAAAAACACTTAGCAGCGCGTTTTATAATATACGACGGAAAACCGACTTAAAAAACGCGAAACTAGCTCGTTATAATTAAAAAAGCTAAAAAAGCTTATTAAATTTACGTGATCGACGAAGTAAAATCGGATTAAAACTTATATAAAGTTATAAGCTAGCATAAGCTTACTTCGAATTTGAAATCGCTTTTTTTAATAATTAATAACGAAGCTATTAAAGATATTAAAAAAAAAGCGGACGCGCTGCGAGAAAGCATTTTTAAACGGTTTAGCGCCGTCGACGACTTCGA